CCCTGCCGGACAGAGTTGTTACTCTGTGGTGAGAGATTTTTTTTTTTTGCCAGGGCTGCTGGTGCTCCTAATAAAGGAATCATTGATTTAAATACAGAAGGTTTGTCGTGTGTGAGGAGCTGAGTCCGAACAAAAGGTTTATTCTTGCAATATATTTGGACTCATGTTGGACCCGAACCAAAGTGAATCTTTCTCTCTTCAGAACCTGTGCACTGGGCTGTTCTACATGTTGTGTTTATATGGTGCCTGGCCATGTGTAGTTGTTAATTATGGTGTTGATGGCAGGGTATTACGTTAATTGTTGCTTCCTTATGCCACAGTGCCCTCGACTCCTAAATACCTGGTAGTAGATCTGCACTCTTATTGATTGACAAGGGGCCCATTTCCCATTGTTCAATCATTTCTCTGGCTGTTTTGGTCTCTGCTCGGCCAACAATCATAATAGCCTGTAACCGTTCTTCATATGTTTTAGCCTCCAACCATCCCCTAATCACCCTGGTTGCTCTTCTCTGTACTCTTCCTAGAGTCTCAACATCTTTTTTTTAGTGTGGTGACCAAAACTGGATGCGGTACTGTAGGCGTGGTCTTACTAAGGCTTTATAGAGTGGCATTAGTACCTTCCTTGATCTTGATTGTACTGTAAAGTCTTCTTTGTAATTATCGCTGGTCTGAACCTGAGAGCTTCAATTGTGGGCCATTTGTTTTTGTCGTAACAAAAGCTCTTTTTCTACGCTTGTCTAGGGGTGTATTAGAAATGGGTTTTCGCAATGTGACCAATTTGAAACAGAAACTGCACGATACTCTGAGTCGGATGCAAAGGGAGAAGGAGAAGGATTTCCGAACATTTAAAAAGATGGAAATGCAGCTGAAAATCGCTCAGGAAGGCCTGATCCAAGTTCAGTCGCATCACGAAAGAATGCTTTTAGAGGTGCGTACCTCTAGTAAGCTTGAAGAGCAATGTCGAGTTTTATTACTTTTTTGGCTCTTTGGGCCAAATACTGTTAAAAGGCGGGTTGCTAAGAAGAGGGTGAGTGCAGGATGTCATCAGGGGTGTTATTCAAAAAATTCCAGCAACCAGTTTGCTGCCCAGTTGCTGGCTGGGCGTGGCCGTGGTGGGTGTGGCCTACCAGAACTTCCGGGAGGGCCGTTTTTCACCTTCCCAAGGCCCGGAGGCTTCCCTTGGGCCTCTGAGAGGATGAAAACGGCCTCCCTCGGGCTCTGGAGGCCCCCCGGAAGCCGGAAACAGGCCCGTTTCTGGACTTCCAGAAGGCCCATTTTCCCCCTCCCAGAGCCTCCATGTGAACCCTGCACTTACCTGCATCTTAAACAGGCCATGTGGAGACTCCTGGGACGGGTGGGGTGGGCGGTGTGTTGGTTCAAATACCAGTTTGGTGAACCAGGTGCAAATTTAACATCCAGTTCACCTGAACCGGCCTGAACTGGTAGAATCCCACCCCTGGATGTCATACAATAGATATTTGATTGGTTTTTTGGGGGGGGGGGGGGGGGGAATAATATAAATTTAAGATTTCCGAATCTATAAGAGCAATTTCTATTATATCAGCGGTCCCCAAACTTGCTGGTTTCTGATTTATTTGTTTTTTTAAACATTCAGCTCATGCATAAATATGGCATTGGTTATATTAAAATAACACACTTTCCTCATTTTTTTGTACATAACCTTCTTTTCTTCCCCCCGTTGTACAGTTAGATGCTGCTGTCCCTAAAGACGATGGGACAATATTAGAGAGGCGAAGGGAGCTTCAGAGAGAAGTGGAAATAGCAAAGCGAAATCTGACACAAGAGGTAATAGGATAGCTGTGTTTTATTCATCTGCCAAGCCTACCAAATCTTTCATTGGATGCTGCTGTCCATATGCCTTCACCGAGATATTAAAGAACAGACATGTTATTTCTTGTTTAAAAAAAAAAAAATATCTGCAGGAAAACAGAAATGTTACTCCTTCTTTTTTTTAAAAAATCTCCTCAGGAAATCCAGTGTCTCCTACTCCTGCTATTCTTATTTCAAGTAGCCAGAAAGGTCTATGTACAGATCATATTTATTTATCGTTTTGATTTGTGTAGCTGCCTGTCTCGTGTTTGTGACTGTAGGCAGCTCAGCTAATGAGACGACCGAGCAAAAGCCACAGTAAACGATGTACAAACATCCAGAAAAAAAACAATAAACCCTTTAAAACCAGATTACAAAACCAAATCAAAACCATAATAGTATGGAGGGTCAGCGATGGTTAGTGGAACAAGGAAGGGGCAAGCAGAGAACACGCTGGCAATCATTACACACATGTCATCCTTGTCCTCCTGTCTCTCCCTAAGGAACAGGTCCTGTGCTTGCAAAAGAGAAAAAAAAATAGACACTTAAGATTAGTGACTCCTAGAGGGATTTTGGCTTAATCACTTATAACTAATATTTTCATTACTTTACTTTAGGACAGCATTGCATGTATCTATTACCGCTCTCCCTCTCTCCATCCATCTAGCATCTATCTACCATTTCTGTCATCTATCATATCTACCTATCTATCATCTACCTATCTATCATCTACCTTATATCTGTCTGTCTATCATCTATCTACCTATCATCCATCCATCCATCCATCCATCCATCCATCCATCCATCCATCCATCCATCCAT